TAATGATAAGAATTATTATAATTATAATTATACTTATAATAATAACATTAATAATAACAATAATAATCATAAAAGTAAATGAATGAATGAAGAAATAAATAAATAAATAAACAAATAAATTAATAATTAAATAATTAATTGATTAATTAAATAAATAAATAAAACAAAACTACCAACCTTATGCAATTTTAGATCAGTAGGATAAGTGGTGTCGACAAAATATACTCTGGATGAATTTAGGCACGGCAGAACCAAATATCTGCGCTTAGCACTTGGGTCATTATAGCAGCTTGAACAAGCATTCCAACCAGTGTGATGCACTTCATCACCAATATACGGAAAGACAACCTTGCTGACCACCTGTTATGTAGTTAAACAATTGAATATATTTTAGGAAATGAAGCAGTCGGAGGCCACTTACCGAACAGTAAGTCGGACTTTCTGGGTCGACGTCAATTGTTACTAGTCTGTCTGGTTTCGTTTGAGCAGCATGTGGACAAGCAACAAAGAGGTATTTCTCTCGCGGACCGTTCAGATAAGCGTCTTGAGGACTCGCATAACCAGGCCCATGGCAACAGACTTCAGTTTTTACAGACATTATCCGTAATACTGACCCTACCACACGAGTCCGTTTTTAATTTAACCAAGAGAATTGTTTGGAAGAATAAAGTTATGAGAATGGAGGCCGACCAGCAAAAATATTTCTCTGCACTTTCTATTGTCGTCGCAGTTTACGGAAAGAAACTTTTCTCGTTACTGTCATCTAAAATGTCTCTCTCTTTTTTTCATTTCTTAAATATTTAATGTTAAAGTGAGAACCGTTAGCGAATAAACTTATATTACAAGGACAAAGTTTTTAAGGGAACTTGATTAAGTTGTTTGGACTTGTAAAGGTATGAAGTCACATGATCGCAAGACTATAGGAAACTGATGTTTGTCATAGTGGGAAACTGGTAAAATTAACGAGAAGAAGAAAGTGAATAAAAATTGATCATGCATTTTCTTCTTACAGGTTTAAAGCAACGTTTTATTTCTAATACTGCTTTTGTTGTAATGTGATACTCTCATTATCGGTTCAACGCACATTCTAGTGCTCTGTTTGAAATATATGTTAGGTTAAAAATTAAAAATAAAAATTGTAATTGTAGTCATGACGGAGTGACAAAATGCGTGGTTATTATGTATCAATTTCTCAAATACACTGCCAAAGCAGTGTTTAAAAAGGTGACAGTTTATAATAGACATCCGAAATCTTACTGAACTGTAATTTTGAAAACCTACTTTTTGTCAGTAAAGATAGTATTTTGCTTTAGTGATTCTGTTAACAATTTCAAAAATGTATGAAAAAGTTTCGTTTGAAAAAATGGCGATCACTGCTTCTTAAGATTCTTCTGGCTTAAGCAGTTTTGCAGTGTAGTGCTAGTCTGTTGTAAAAAGGTAAATATGAAGTAATATTCCGTTTTATCAAAGTTAATTGCACAAATTGAGATTTGAAACAGATCACACAAATTGCCACAAGTGGTACTGCTTGTAGACGTCTAACAAAATAATTTAAGGCTTTTAGTCTTTGCTTATTTTTTCCTCTTTTGCTCATATAAGACGCGGCAAAGGCGTAAGATGACCAAATATGCTCCATTCCAATAGCCAAAAAGAAGAAAGGAAAAAAAGGTTAAGCTGATTTCAGTTGATCAACAACAAACATAAGGAGTTTTACTTCTGCTGTTTTCCATAAAAACAATTCACTTTTCAATCCTTATTCATTATCAAGCCATTTTACACCAAAACCATAAAACTCTGTAAATTATTGCTCAATAAATATTTATTTCATAAATGCATTCCAATTCATCTCTATTCCTAATGCAAAAAAGAATGAATAAGATTCTTTCAAAGCAACAGTCTGCGTAGAACTGCTGATTTGAGGTATTTTGAACTTCAACACTTCTTAAGCCTTAACCGATGGTCGCAGAACGTAAGCAGCTACGATACCCATCACAATGAAGAGAGTTGCTCCCATAGCCATAAAGATTGAAAGTCCCATTGGTGACATGCAGATACCATCTTGGGGAGATGTTACAATAACCTGGCGTCCAGCTTTGGATGGGTAGCGGAGTTCACGTGGAAGTGAAGCTGCCTGTAATTTCAGTGATGATTTTTAGCATCGTATTGAAATCGGTCATTGAAATTTTCACATTTCTCGCGTGTTATATATGCTTCAGATTCTTAAACCTATCTTACCTTGTCGGAGATGTCCAAAGTGCTGAGATCGGCACGGACATCAAGAACGTTTTCGTAATCAGCCTGCCTCTTTTTGAGGAGTCTGAGGGCAGTTGGTGCTGGGGCATTTCCGGTAGCTGGGGCTCCCAGTCTGTTGGCACCAAATCCTACCGGTTCAGCACACTGTGGGCGAGGGCAGTCTGCGTTGGGTTCCTTGATGGTGATTGAAATTTGGCATTGGTAGAACAGCTGCGAGCGATCAGCGTATTTGTAAACGTGGGCTTCCTGCAGAAAATACAGTCAGGCTACTGGATTGCATTAGAGACTTTTACGTTAAAACTCATAAACTTTTTTCGACTATAGATGTCCTTTAAAATGTAGTTACTAACTTGTCCGGCCATCAAATCAGTTGGATATTCGAGGTTGTTGAGCAAGTATTTGTCCAAAGCACAACCATCACCGTTCAAGATTTCGATAGTATCACCACGTCCATCATCAACAGTGCAAGAATGGACAAGGGCGCAGAAGGTATCGACAGTTTCCGAATCACAGGTCCATTTGTGGTATACTTGTTGACCGATGGTTGCGAATTGGATGGGCTGTCCAGTTGGTCCACCGTCCAAAATCTAAAAATAAATTAAGTATAATTTATGCTTCTTTCAAAGTGCTCCTAAACTTAGCTTTAAGAAAATTTAAGCTGTTCATATTCAACGGAATCTGGTCGTACTTCGTATCGGCAAATTGGCATTGGTACAATTTGGGTCTGGAATGCGGTTGTAATTTCGGAGACTTCCAATTGGGTGGAAACAGTTTTGTCGGCTTCCATGTAGAAGCACTGAACGCGGTAGGCTCTGTCAACTTTGGTAACGAACAGAGGATGGAAAGAGATGACAACTGTTGTGGTAACGAAAACACCACGTGGGTTCAAAGATCTGGTCCTGGCAACATTGCAGCTGTCAAATGGAAGTTCAATTCCAGCTACTTGACGACCACGTTCACTTCTTCGGCAGGCATCCTAAATTTGCAAATGGAAATTTAATTTAGTTTATTATCTTTTAAGAAATGGAAAAATGATTAATTAAATGAATGAGAAGAAAAAAGAAGTAGAAGGAGAGCTACAAAAATTATTGAAGAAGCTTCAAAATCGTTACAAAAACAAAAAACACAAAAAAAATGGCAAGTAAGACAAAACTAGTAGTACCAAAAATTTAGTAGAAAACTAAATAGTAAAACTTCAAAAAAAAAAAAAAAAAAAAAAAAAAAAAAA